TGGTTTGGTTTGTTGTTGTTTTGGCAGTTGGGGGGGGGTTTGGTTTTTGTTAAAGTAAATTTACAGTTATCCTCTCTTACCATATCCAAAGCATATCTAAGCAATTACATACAGAAATCAAGGTGATCTTTTCAGTGATGTACATGCGTCAGAAGCTTTCTGGCAAGTTTTATTTTCAGACTTTTTCAGCAAGCTTTGGTTTTCCTGTGAGCTCAAAACTTTACTAACCATTTGTAAATGAAATACAGAAGTCATAAGGCGATCTTCCTAAATAATAGACAAAACTACAATCATTCTGTAGATCAGTAGTTAATTACATAGTTAATTTGCAGCACAAGAATTAATTAGCTACATTAAAATATCAATTTGTTAATCTTATTTCAAGCTGACAGTAATTTTAGAATGTGAAGACCTAAAACATTTCCAAATTTGAAAAAGCTTTTAGAAAATCCACTTTCAACTGCTAAAGCTGTAAAGAAGTTTAGTGAATTTGCAGTTCCTCAGCAACAGTTAATTGTGTCTTTAGATACAACGGTGCCTACTGTGATCCAACTACTACAAGCAGCTATGAGGGTGGTCACGGTGTGAATGTATTCTCCGTTCTAATCTGTAGCCAACTGTAACTGTGAGAGTCAAATGAATGCGTACGCATACTGCTTTGTCACCTAAAACCATGTGTGTCCAATATTACTGAAACACTGGGCCAAAATTCATCTCTACAGTAAAGCAATGGAAGACACCACATGGTGAGGGGACAGCTGTTGTTACTACACAAGCATTCAGATTTTGCATTAAAAAAACCCTGTTCTGGGATTAACTCCCCATACTGAAAATACAATTAAAAGTACAGAGTTATGGTCTACAGTCTTTAAAATGAAAATAAACCCCAAGTGTAGATATAAAGAATTCATAGCATTCCCATAAATAATAATCCATTAACATGGTTTATAATACATAGCTGGCAATATTGAAGGATTAGTTCACCCAAATCACTATGCAACTTCTAGAGAAAAGAAATATGAATGTGGTTTATTGTTTGTCATCACTCTTACATGTGTATCTGCACTTAGCAATTCCATATCACCTTTCAGCATGACAGAGTTTTACACTATTAGGATTTTTTTAAAAAATATGAGCAACTCTATTTTCAATTACATTAAAAGCAAATTTTTAGACAATAAAGTCTTTCTTTTCAAGAAAACATTCTGACTTGTTTAGACTTAACATTAATAACTGTATACCATTTTAGTGACAAAACTGGGAAGTGTCTAGTACTTGAGAGTTTATAAAGAAACCTTAAAAGTTATTTATATAAACCTGACAAAATGAGATAATTGGATTTTTTAAGATTAAATTTTAGCTTTAGACCATTTCTTCCTGCCATCAATATATTGTAGATTCAATTAAAATCACTGTTGTATGGAAGTTCAGATAATGTTTTCAATCTGGCTAGGACTCTGTGCTATGCTCATCTAATTTTGGTGATTCACTGATTTGAGCATGTCTAGTCCATGATCTTGCAAATAAACCATGAGGCAGCATCTATTTAAAAATACCTGTGCAAACATTATTAGAACAAGGGTCCTAGTAAAACCCCAGACATTTTTGCAATTTAGGATACATTTAACCTACAAGAAGGTGGTGTTTCTATCCAGTAACCGTAAGACTAGAATGTAAAAGTATTCCTGATTTAATTTCTTGCCCATAATCTCTTCTTTTTCTTACATTATTCTTGCATATTCTTACAATTTCTTGCTTTACCTACAAGAAGTCTGAAGTCAGTCTTGTTTTATCAAATCTAATACACATCTGGCATTGTGATCCACTTGTGGGTGAACACTAACATCTCGGCACTAAAGAGCTTTTGTGAAGCTCTGAAGATCTGCTAAAGGGTATTAATGATCTGAACTCATATTCAAAGCTGCAACATGTTCACATAACCTTTTTTTCCTTCAAGGCCATAATTCAAATCCCATTTCCACCAGTACAATTTTTATTACTTGAGCCAACAAAACCATAAGGACAGCTATACTGTTTCAGACTAATGGTCAAGGTAGGCCAGTAAGATGGTCATTTGTGCTCAGAGGGTGCAGATGTAGAAAACTTTACTACATGCTTTGTGACAACAAGTACTATATTTATCATTCAACCTTTCCCCACTCTGCTTTGAAAAAGCAGGGGCCATATGTAGGCACTAAGAGAAATGCAAGCATATAGTTCACCTGTATTTCCCTTAATATTTTCCCTAACTCAAATTATTTTCACCTCAAGGAATTTCTCTAGGCTGATATATTTTACCTATTTACTAACCCTCAATGACTCTCTCAATGTTTTTTCCAGTCTCCCCTGAAACTATGTTAACTTTCTGGATTTGCAACATCATCTTCATGATCTGCTACCCATTACACAAGGAACCACCTTATTTTGTCTTTTCTGAACCTGATTCCTCCTGGCTTTGATGACATCCAGCTCACGGCTTTGAGTGAAGAACCAGCAAACAGTCTACGCCTACTGACTTCCGTGTCACTTACAACTTTGTTCAAAATATCTCTTTATAGTATTCCCCTTTTACTTGTCTCTTCCTGGTTAAAGAGTCCTAGTCTACTCAGCTGGTTTCTCATTTAAAAGCCATTTTATGCACAATACTGCCCATAATGCCTTTTTCTAAACCACCTGCAATTCCATTCTAACCAATCTCTTTGAAATGAGGTACCAAACTACACACGGTAGGATTAATCATAAGTTTATAAAGTAGAATAAGGATTCTTCTGTTTTGGTCTTTAGTCCTTTCTTAATATTTTCTAGCATTCACATTGTTTTTTTGAATTATACCGAGCTCATGTTTTCAATGAAGCCAGCCCTGATAATTCCTAAGATGTCACTCCTCAAGGATCATGGCAAGCTCAGAGCTCATCATCTTGTGCATTAAGTTAGGACAGTCATTCACTGCATCAATATTTGCATCACTGTCCTGGGTTAAGCTGAGACAGA